ACAGAAATGTTAAAAAAGACATTGTGGAGTCAAGTTTTTGCGACAGTACATGAAATAAGCGTTGTTCTACTGCGCATACATGTTTAAGATTGTAATGTATTTGTTCTTTCTATACTTCTTGGCATGGAACTACGCTCAACAGAATGAAGAATATTGATGCGGGTGTGTAGGTGTGGGTGTTAACTTCCTACACTTCATCACCCAAATCCCATACCCACACCTACACTCAATTTAAGACGACAATAACTATAAATAGCAGCAATCTGTCTCAAATATTCTCTTTAAAAAAAAAGTTCTCCGATAAAATTGAACAACAGCACAGACAGTACACAATGGAAAATTATTGTAAATGTCAAATGGAAACATTTTAAATTGAACGAAAAGATAAAATCGATTTTACGAAATAAAATAGTTAGTAGTTGAACGATACTAATGATTTCCGATAGCCAAATATAACAAAACTTTAACCTTTGGATACTGTTGGATAGTTGAAAAATCCAATGGAATTTTTTTGCTTACTCTCACATCAGGCTAGTATTACTGAGATACGCCTACGATGATTATTGTTTTTATCATATTCTAATCAAAGGAAGACATTTGTTACAGCCTATTGAGTCAATAACGTAGATAAGATACACGTGACAATAGAAAGAAAATATAAATTGCACCATTATCACGTCATACGTAGTAATTTGGTTTTTGTCGTTCTGTTCTTCCCAAATATTCTATGTTGGTAATTGCTTGTGCAATACCATCGTCAACTATATCAAGTCGTGTTTTGACAGCCTTTTTTTTTGCATTCCAATTTTGATCATCAACCGCGTGCCGTGCAACAAAAGCACACACCCGGCGGCTTAACAACCAACTAGATGGCAGATTGGAAACGTGTGCTCTCGCTAGTGAAAGATTTGCTTATGCAATAATGAAATTCGTACTTCGAATTGACTCGGACTTTTTATGTTTGAGTTAGAAACCCGGCTTCCGGTGTGTTCCGATCACAACGAAACCCTGCTATCGTCGCTTAATAACGACGCTTTGGGTCGATCGGACATGTTGAAGGCCACCAATATTGAGATTATATTTGTTTGTGTTGATTATATTGAATTACACAACAATATATGAAATCTCATTGGTGTATCTTCGATGTTTTCGACATATGTCTATGAAGCTGAGTATCGAAGAGACGAATATTAATATCCGTAAGTCAAATCTATGACATTTTCTGAGAGCACATGTTTTTAATCTACATGGAAGATATAAAAATTATGAAGGTAAATATTAGATAACAGTAAGTACTTTCAGTTTTATTTGGGTGGGTGTGGGTGGCGGATGTGGGTGTGGGGTGTGGGGTGTGGGTGTGGGTGTGTGGATGTGGGATGGGTGTGGGTGTGGGTGTGTGGGTGTGGGGGTGGGTGGGTGTGGGTGTGGGTGGGTGTGGCTGTGGGTGTGGGGTGTAGGTGTGAATGTTGAATATTAGCGCAACCACACCCACCCATACCCACACCCACACCCACACCCTCATATATCTGTTCTCTCTTCCTTTTCCGCTAACGACGTCATTTTATTGTCGTCGAACTACTCATATATATCAGCGTTTATCTTCGTCCACTACATTTATTTATGAAACAAAGCTCATGATGTCCGCTTTTTCACCTTTATGTTCTTCAATGAACATGTTTGACATATATATATATATGAGGTGACATAACATTTTCTGTATTAGAAATAAATCACTATTTGATTCAATTGCATAAACAATCTTTCTTTTAGAGATTGTTCTCATGGCTTCTTTTCGTTGGGATCCAGATTTTCTTACTGAATGCGCTAGAAGTAAGACGTTTGTAAAATGAAAACTTTATTTATTTTATCAGTTTAACGTGAATAGTAATTATATTCAGCTTCTCAATTTCATATTTCATTACACACGAGAAATTTCAAAAGCATTTATCCCTAAACGACCTCTCAGTGACGAGTTATAAAATGAAATAAGTATCAATAAATCATTCCTGCTCATGATCTTATCTATTAGAGAATAATCTAACGCAAGTCCATAGATCATTCTCTTTTTCGCATCAGTTGATTAAGTACTTGATTATAATTACTTCTTCTTTAAACTCTTCGAGTTTATTATAAATCGAAGAGAAGAATACTAAAAAGTTATAGTTCGTATGTAATCATATGTTGAGAGTGCCTCTGAGTGGAATTATCTATACGAGTTGATTCGATATACAATTGATCGTACCATTTTCTTTTCTATGCCAAAAAATAATGTCAATGAAAGCAAACATTAAGAAAATGTTTACTAAAAGAGGAGCTCATTGCGTGACAAGAAGCATCGTTGTTTTGAAACAAGGCGCAGAAGGTATAGTTACATAGTTCATAGTTCCCAATTGGTGTTTATTTACTGGTACATCATACTGCTATAGTTGTGCACACCTCGTCATCATATAGGTATGCATTCTCAATTGAATTAGACAAAAAGGTTAGGTGACGCAAAACTCGAAAAGATTCGAAACCGAGGGAAAATTGAAGAAGGCCAAATCGAACTCAAACCGAGGCGTTTTTTAAAAACGCTAAACTCGATCGGTGATAATGAAATCTACGTGATTAGTATTGTAACTTATTCGTCTTATTTCAACCGATTGTCATTGACAATCTTGGCACCGTGATAGAAGACTGCATCAGAGAATTTCAACAATTGAGGCTCTCTAAACGAGTGATACCTTGAATATAATAGAAGGCCGTTCTTATTTATTTAGTTAATAAGAATCTGTAGCGTTGAGAAATATATTTAATCAAAAATATGCCAAGTTTTAGCATCCTATACCAAAAATCAATGAAGTCTCAAGTTAAAATGATGCAGCATCCCTTGAATCCTGAAAAAGCCTTTCTGATCCTGGAAAGTGTAGCGAATTTTTGGAAAATATTTGAATTATTGGTGGTTGTGTAAGAGGAGTGTAATATAAGATTATTCATAACATTTATCTATCTCGATATAATAAACGTCTGCTGATCGTCTAATATAAAGAAAGGGAGAGTTATTGGGAGTTATATATGTAAAATCACGACGTTTTAGTGGTTGGCATTTATTTATACGCCGGAATAAGAGAGAAGTACTCATATTGCATTGAACTTGATTTAATAGTTGATTATGTGAATGCTTTTTTCTATAGTGAAGAATATACTTGGTTTGTTCATGTTTTGCGTTTAGTGAGATGAAGAAAGACAGCAACGTATATAAATATAAATAGTTTCATTGCTGTTTATGAAAACATTTTTGTTTACTCCTTGCTTTACATGTTCAGATACTGATCTAAACTATGACAAGTTGGTACAAAAACTGAACGGAAATCGAGGTCTGTCAAAGTTTGCAGATCGCATCGTATCGTCTTTGATTTGTAGGAGACAATTTAGAAAAGACAGAAAGAAGGCGAGCTTTTGAACAAGAAATTAAATCAAAAGCAAGAAATCAATTTTTGTTTTTGTGGATGAGAAACAACTTTTAAATACAATTCGATAGAAAAGGAAATGATTGAGTTTTAAACCTATGTAAAAATAAAATAATAAGATGGATGAAAAAGCCATTCGAAATTTGCAAGATTTGACTTCGCTTTGGAATTGATTTATATATCATATCCAATTTTTATTTTTTTTTTGTCATAAACCATAACCAGATTGTGTATATTTAGAAGTTGCGCAAGTGGAGGAAAAATTGACAAGGGAACAACTTGATTATTTATATCAATGTAAGTGTATTTGTTGTATTGTCATATCGTCTAATAGTGAATTGTATTAACTAGATTATATGATGAACAAATATCCTCTATTAGATGAGCTTGAAGCAATTGCCGTGCAATGGAATATTAATGATCTTGATTTTTACCTGAGTTTACGTGTAAGTACATTTTCTCTCGAATTAAAAAGGTATTCACATCTCTTGTTTACTTTTAGGATTGGTTTCGTGGTCGGCGATTGGCTGAACAAGATTTGGAAGAACGACGGTATCAGGCACAAGGAGCAGCAGCTTAGTCGATATCTGAATCTGTTTGATTGACATTGATATGTCCTGTTATTGTTTATTGATTGAAGGAAAATGTTTTTTTCTTTGTATTTGATATTCGTTAAATATTAAGAAAATAGGGATTGATTTGCCATTAATTTACTATTATGCTTCTTGTACGACAAAGGATTAGGTATAAAACAAGTGCTATGTTAATTATTGTTAATTAGAAAGATCATAGTGAGATGATCTTAATTATATTTCTTTGACATAAGAAATTCGTATTGACTTCGTCGACGTATCTATGTCATTAAAATACTGAAGAAACAAATCGAGAGGTGAAAAATGACGAACGATATCGTTCAGTTGATAGATATAACTGATCATGTAATGTGTCTTGAAGATTTTCTATTAATTGTTGAAGGACAATGTGTACCGTGGTGATCTTATGAGTTACCTTGTTTTAATATAATATTTATATTAAAACATACGAAGAGTAAGAACAACTGCCTCTGTTCTGGTGTTACCTTCGCTCATTATAAGATAGTAAAGATAAACACAGAATGTTCTTTTCATTCGAACACAAATGTCCGATCAGATTTTATTTGAACATTTGTATTTTAAATATAAATAATTAACTATTGATTTAAAAGTTTTCAAGACAATGTATTAATCAGAATAATGGAAAAAATAAATGGCAAATCATAATGGTTAATTTCTTTTGGAAACAAATGTTCCTTGAAATGAGATTCATTCTTTAAATTTCATCGGTAACTACTTTTCATAGGTTTCACAGCATTTTTTGCAGTTGAGATTCGATAAAATCGTGACCATATTTATTGTAGTGACTGTAAGAGGATAATTAAACTTTCCATCACCAAGATTTCTGCACAACTTTCTTGTATTCGTAAATTGAATAGAATCTAACAATACTTTTTTGGTATATATTACAAAAATCATTTGAACTTAACAATGTATTGAAAGATGTTACTGATTAAAAATGTTGTTATGGTTCTTTGGTCAACATAAAGGCGTGTGTTCAATGAATATAGGTGGAAAACAGCTAGAACAGGTTCGGTTTGAGCTTTTTAAAAAACTAGGTCGATTCGGTTCCATTCGGTTGCAAAAAAATATGAATCGATTCTATTTCTTATAGAAAAATAAACACCATAGTGTAATGTAGAGTTCGTATGTTCAAAAATCCCTAAAACTATGTAGTTTAATTCATTTTACGCTATTTTACTTTGTAAAAGTAAAATAAAGATAAAAGTAGCGCCTCTAAGCAAAATGCATCAATAGTAACCAATATATTTGTTCCTTTATCGCTCATCAAGATTAAAAGACAAAACGAGTACAGCACTTAAGATTTACATGGATATATGTTTCCTTGAGATCCTTCAGGTTTAAAGTATTTCTCCAGAATATATTATATTTAAAATAGATACATGTCAAGGTAAGCAATTTTCTAGTACAAAACAGCAATTTTCAATTATTTTTATAGTACAGGTGTGTCCATATGTACATATATACGTGGTTCATGCTGAAAGTTTTTAGATTCTTGATTAAATTTAATAGGTATATACGAGTTTGGTAGTTATAGGAGTAGACGCAAGTCTTAGAAGAAAGTCAACAAAGTTTTGGCTCTTGCACATTTGTCCTTTCGTTTGGTTGCAGATTAAGTGATACTAAATTGGAAATAATATTTTACCAGAGGGTATCGCTATAATTTTAAATAGAATACATAATGAATTTTATACCAAACGATAGCCCATCAAAAATCGGGTTTATTAGTGCTAAACAATAAGAGTTATCGAGACTTTCGTATGTTGAAATGTCTAAATTTAGGAAATTCATATAACGTTTCTCACACCTATGATCGGTGAAATTTCCTAAATTTCGACATTTCAACATACAAAAGTTTCCATAACCCTTATTGTTTAGTACTAATAAACTCCATTTTTGACGGGCTTTCGTTTGGTATAAAATTCATTATTTATTCTATTTAAAATTATAGCGATAGCCCCTGGCAAAATATTATTTCCAGCTAGGGATGAATCTCACACGAGACCAAACTCAAATTATGATTTACTATGATCACATCAGCAAAACGAAAGAAGAAATGTCCAAGAGTCAAAACTTTGTGGCCTTTCTTCTAAGACTTGCGTCTACTACTACAACTATCAAACCTGTATATATCTATTAAAATTAATCAAGAATCTAAAAAGGGTGTGGGTGTGGGTGTGGGTTGGGTGGGTGTGTGTGGGTGTGGGTGGGGTGTGGAGTGTCGTTATGAATAAAATGAATACCTACACGCACACTCACACCCACACCCCACACCCACACCCACCCACACCCACACCCACACACCCACACCCACACCCACCCACACCCATACACCCAAATACTTTTCAAATGTACGAACAAAAATAAATATATTTCTTCGAAATTAATCGAAGGTGGTAGATGTCAGTGTGAAGTTGATGAATATGGTTTATGTGATGATGAAATTTCTGATCTTGATTAGATTAGAAAACATATAACATTTCCAACAATTTGTGATGATTTTATTGAATTAGCACCTATTAATATAAATGGACAAAATGAAACTGATGAAACTGAATGTCAATATTGGCAATGTAATAATACTTATACACGTTGTGATGGATTCTGGAATTGTTTCAATGGAGCTGATGAAGTTGATTGTTATTCATCACTATTATTAAAATGTTCATCTCATCATCACATTTGTGTTTCACCTCAGACATATCAACTTACATGTTTACCTATCGAAAAAGCCAATGATGGCAAAATTGATTGTGTTGGTGCTACTGATGAACCAAAATTATGTTGATCAGATGATCATGAAAGTAGCTATAACAATTTCTATTGCAAGAATAATACTAGTCGACCTTGTACAACGTTTCATGATGTATGTGCTCACAAGATTCAGTGCATGCATGAAAATACTAACCTATTATGTAGTTTCATCGGAAACAGAAGCAAATATTATACTGTTTGCGACGATGAATATGAATTGTTTCATACCGATGTTCAAAAGTATCTTTGTGACCGTCTTGATGATTCAAAGAAAGTGCGAGTTGCAAATTTTTCCATTAATAGATCAAAACAATCAGGTAAACAATTAACTATTCTTGATAAGAATAGAAGATCTTCTATTATTTTAACTACTCGTCAATACGAACAACGATGTCATCGTGGTCTTCTTTTACGAGTTTGGTTAAATGTTGATCAAAATTTGACAACTAAAACATGTCTTTGTCCACCTAGTTTTTATGGTGATATGTGTCAATATCAAAATCAACGTGTTAGTCTTACATTAAATTTTCAAGCATATTCTGATTTTAGACGAACATTATTTGCTTTGATTATCTTACTTATCGATGATAGTAATCAACGAATTATTCATTCATATCAACAATTAACTTATCTTTATATTCAATATTGTCAAATTAAATTAAATTTTTATTTACTTTATTCAACTCGACCAAAACATTCAACAAAACATTATTCAATTCATATTGATATTTATGAAAAAATTTCATTTATATATCATGGAAGTTTTTTTAAATCACTTATTTTTGATTTTTTACCAGTATATCGTATTGCTGTTCAATTTAATATTTGACGTACAAGTGATACCATTAAAATTTGTTCAGATCAACAATGTATTCATGGTCAATATGTAAAATATTTAGATAATTCAAAAGATATTAGTTTCTGTCAATGTAATCGAGGATGGTCTGGAAAATATTGTACTATTTCACATATATGTACATGTTCATCTGATTCTTTATGTATTCGTGTTTCAGCAAATAATCGATCTATTTGTATTTGCCCTCTTCATAAATTGGGTTCTCAATGTTTACTTGATAATTCTATATGTAATTCTGATCAAAATACAACTTGTTACAATAATGGTTAATGTGTACCTATTGAAGAACATATGGTATCTGAGAGAAAATTTATTTGTATTTGTTGAAATGGTCTTAGTGGAAAAAGATGTAAAATAACTGATAATAAAATTATTGTATCATTTCATAAAGATATAACTTTACCACAAACAATACTTGTTCATTTCATTCAAGTGATTGATGATAATGTTTCACCTGAAAATGGTTCGACTTTTAAAAATATTCCTGTCAATCAAAATTCAATTACTATTCGATAGTCACATCCATTTCATATTGCTTTTGTTGAACTTTTCAATAAGAAATATTATTTAATAATTGTACAAGAAACTTGTAATCAATCAATAAATATTGTTAAAACAATCAATCCATCAGATCGTTGTGAACATATAAGTGAAATATTGAATGATGCCATTGCTAAATTTCATCTTATTCGTCGTATTAAATACTATCATTTGGTATGTCAAAGACGATCATCAACATCATCATCATTGTCTTGCTTTTATGATGATAATTATTTTTGTTTATGTAATGATTATGATCATCAACGTATAGCAAACTGTTTTGAATTTAATTCTTCAATTAAAAATGATTGTTTTGGTAAAAGTAATTGTGAAAATGGTGCACAATGTTTGCAAAATAGGCCAACTTGTCCACAAACATCAATGTGTGTTTGTTCATTATGTTTTTATGGAACACGATATCAATTTAGTTCATCTTTATTTGGTCTTTCACTCGATGCTGTTTTAGGTTATCATATTAAAGTAAATGTTAACATGAAAAATCAATCACGTATTGTACAAATAAGTCTAGTTTTAACAATAATTATGATCATCGTAGGTCTTATCAATGTTATTTTATCTATGATTACATTTAAGAATAAAGCAACACATCAAGTTGGTTGTGATTTTTATCTCTTAGGTTCATCGATTACTACTTTACTTATTGTAATCACATTTGCAATGAAGTTTTCAATACTTATCATAGCACAAATGACATAATACAAATCGATTATTCCTATATATTCAATGTTTATCATTGGATTTTTTCCTACGAATTTTTCTTAATATGGATAAATGGTTAAATGCATGTGTGGCTGCAGAACGAGCATTTGCCACAATAAAAGGAACTAATTTTAATAAGAAGAAAAGTAAATAAGTAGCCAAATATATTATTTTGACTCTTATTTTCTTAACAATTAGTACAACTATTTATGATCCTATTCATCGACGTCTGTTAGAGGTTGTATGAAATCAATTAACGATTCATGATTATTTCTTATTGGATACTTTATTTCATTTATTCCACCTATGCTTACGTTTCTTGTTTTTGTTTTACCATCAAAATTATACGAAAAAGAATTTTGAACATCCATTCACCAATATCAACGAAGAATACAAACAAGATTATATTTTATTTCATAAAAACATTAGTGAACTCAAAGAAGTTTTCTCAAAGGAGAAAAAGCAGATTTCTGTATTTCTTCATATTTCCTCATACTTCACCGTACTCCTGTGTATGTCACAGTATCTCTCGAGGCATCTCCGTACTTCTTGGTATTTCTGTATAGAAATACACAAATATGCTTTTTCTTCCGTGAATTTTCTTTCTATCGCTTCTCTATATCTTATTGTAATTAACTTTTCATATTAAATGCATAGTTTTGAGCTATTACCACGATTTAGAAATTGGCAATTCAATGAATACACACACAACAATCAATTATAACACTAAAGAATGATGAAATTTGAGGAATTCAAAAAAATGAAGCAACAATTTGAGAAATTCAACGAAATTCCAGAAATTCAAGCAATTCAACAAATACACATAACAAAGGGAGTTATAAGCCTAAACTATGATGAAACTCAAAAAATCAAAGAATTCAAGAAATTCTACGAATTTTATTGGACTGGTTGATTTTCTTGAATTCTATTAAAGTGTTTAATACAAGGATGTCTTCATCGTCACTATCAATGTTGTCTTAGAATCTAAAGAATTCTAGAAATTTTTATTGAATTCGTTGATTTTTTTGAATTGCCAATTTCTGGATCGTGGTTATTGCTGGTCTGCGAGATTTCTATGATAACGGCTAAGTAACTCAAATGTTGGTCACGTCTGTGACGTGTCTTTGCTAAGAATGTCTGTCATGTCGATAATGATCTGTTGCTAAGATGGTTGTCACGTCTGTGGGGAGTGTGCGCACATTTCTATACCTATACTTCAACACTCCTTTTAGATCATGTTTCACAAAAGGTGGTCGATTATGCACGATCTTTCAAACATCTGTACTTAATCATAGACGCCATTTGTTAAATCTACTTCTAAGCTTATATAAAGAAAAGAATAATGAATTTTGAATAACATTCATTAATCTTAACTCATCTGAAGAGTGATTGATAATCAGTCTAAGTTATACATATTATCATATTACAGCATCCGAATGTCAATGACCGTTTTCCGATTGGGTTATATATGACCATATAAGCAAAAGTATGAGCTGTTAATTATCGTTTCCATAGTTTTATAACTGTTGAATAGAATTGAATTTTGAAAAGCGGACTCCAAATGTGTACTCATCACAGTCTTACGATACCGACAAATTTTTTTCCCAATATCATGACAACTAAGTGATTTTAGTCCTTGTTGTCCATCTATCCCGTCCAGACTAGTCCGTAGAGCAGAAAAATAAGAAAAAAAGGAGACAAAAGCTGGATTCGAACCTTCGACTCGACAGTATTTAACATCTGACAAGTGCCCTGGCGGCAGACAAGGACTTAGCGATAGATTGACGTCAGTTTAAACAATATGAGTAACAGAGTGATGCGCATTCATCTGCTAGGCGATTTGAAATCCATCGGAGACTAGCGACTTCACTTGTGTGAAATATCTTCAATGGTACACACTAAGTTAAAATGTGTCGCATGTGTCGTGCTTTGCGACACATTAAAGTGCGACACGAGGAGCTCACTGCGACACATTTTCTCCAGCAGGACCACGACACATTTCGTGCGACACATGCGACACATTTTCTATTGGTTCTTTTGAAAAATCATATTTCGATGTTTTTTTTTAATTTAATTCCATTGAATTATTCTAATTCTGAAAACTCAAGCTGGTCAGATCCTGGGATCTATCCAATCTCGAGTTGATCCGATTTGTATCAGTTCACTTCAGGGTAGTCCTCTCTCGATCATGGATCGAGATTGGCATTTTCTCGATAAAAAAAATAATCGAGAAATAATCTAGAAAATAAGAAGAATGTGAAATGTTTTTTTCTATGTTCAACCAAGTTGTTTATATATCATTATGTGTGCATAATAAAACGGTGAATGAATAGTCAGCAGACAGAACGCGACAAATTCGTATACGACACATTCTAAGCACGACACATTTTTCTGCTGGAGTGTACGACACAATAATTCACGACACATAAATACGACACATTTAAATTTAGTGTGTAGTCATGACTAGTCTGAAGTGTCATCTATGCACGTCAAGACTAGTCCATTTTTTTAAGAATACTATGTTACTTCTTGTTCACACTAGTCTAAGAACTTCAAGTAACTTAATTTGTTTGAGCTAAGCTGTCCTGCTACTTCGTTGAAACGGATCAATAATGGAAAGACAAAGAAGTAGAATGCAAGACAAAGAATTTGTGAATATCTCTATTATGGTTAAAAACAATCAATGAATAATCAGACACATTCAGAATATGGATCAGATATGAGAATAAGAAACATTTCACCGCCTGTCTTCTATTGACAAATTCATGATTGTTAGTTAAGTATAATTTGTTATATCACGATTACGAAAAATTAATGGCAATTACTAAATTTTTATTAATATATATGTAGACCGTCCCCTGAGTTATTGATTTCCTTTCTAATTAGGGTGAAGATTAGAAAGTCCTCCAAAAGGGTGTGGGAGGGCACGTGGCTATGAAGAAAAGCAACAGTCACACCCACACCTCGCGTGCACACCCACACCTACACCCACCCACACTCACATCCACACCCACACACCCACACCCACACCCACCCACACCCACAC